CAAACGTAATGACTAACTTAATATACGCTCCATACTATGGTGGAGGGTATAGAAATGTTGGAAATAGCATCGAATTTTAGAATATGTTTAGATTTGAATTGGTCACCTTTGGCACGAATTATGACCTTAAAATGCCAATGAAACCGTCACACGTTGCCCGAATGTTGCTCTGCGGTATTTTGGCACATTCCCGGCGAAGCGCTTTCGTATGCATGCCCACATCTTTGTATTGTCCCCATATAACGGTTTCCATTTTAGTGGTTTTTGTTTTTTTTTTTTTGTGCAATTTTTCAAGTTCCTTCCAAATAGTGGAGGGTATTGAAAATTCGGCCGAACATGGCTTCTTTTTGACTTGTTCTACTTTTTTTTATGAAATTCTGCAAATTCCTTCCAAATGGTGGAGGCTTTAAGAATTTAACCTGGATGCTTTAAAAATGTAACCGAATTTACTGCTTTTTTACTTATTATACCCTCCACCTTGGAAAGGAGGGTATATTAACTTTGTCATTCCGTTTGTAACATCCTTAAATATTCGTCGTAGACCCCATAAAGTATATATATTCATAATCAGCATAAAATTCTAAGTCGATTTAACGATGTCCGTCTGTCTGTCTGTCCGTCTGTCTGTCTGTTGAAATCACGATACAGCCCACATTATTTGACGTAGAGCGCCAAAATTTAGCAGAGCAATTGGTATTGTGTCTAGGATGGATGGTATTGAAAATAAGATATATCGGTCCACGTTCTGGTATAGTCCCAATATAACGGTACCTCCCGATATTCGGTATTTTGATGATTTATACCACATTATTTAACGGATTTGTCTGAAAATTGGTATTTGTAGGTCATAACGGGTCCCTGTATGTGTGGCAAAACATAGCATGTATAGATGCACGTTTTGGTATAGCCTTCATATAATGGTACCTCCCGATATTCGATATTTTGATTATTTTTGCCACAGTTTTTAACGGATTTGTCTAAAAATTGGTATTTGTTGGTCATAATGAGTTCCAGCTCCGGTGGCGAAACATTGCATGTATGGGTCCATGATTTGGTATAGCCCCCATATAACGGTACCTCCCGATATTCGGTATTTTGATGGTTTTTGCAACATTTTTTCACTGATTTGTGTAAAAATTGGTATTTGTGAGTCATAATGGGTCCTAGTTCGTGTGGCGAAACATTGTATGTATAGGTCCACGTTTTGGTATAGTCCCCATATAACGGTAGCTCCCAATATTCGGTATTTTGATGATTTTTGACTGATTTTTTCACGAATTTCACTGAAAATTTGGTAGTTGTAGATCATAATGGGTCCCAGTTCGTGTGGCGAGTCATTGTAATTATAGGTCCAAGTTTTGGTATAGCCCCCATATAACGGTACCTCCCGATATTCGGTAATTTGATGATTTTTGCCCCTTTTTTCACGTATTTGTCTGAAAATTGGTATTTGTAGGTCATAATGGGTTCTAGCTCCGTTGGCGGAACCTTGCATGTGTAGGTCCACGATTTGGTAGAGCCCACATATAACGGTACCTCCCGATATTCGGCATTTTAATGGTTTTTGCCACATTTCTTCTAATGTTTCCTTTACCCTAAGGTGGAGGGTATTAAAAGTTTGGCCCGGCCGAACTTAATGTTTTTTTACTTGTTTTTAATTTATTTTCTTCTTCAGGCGAAAGTAAGACATGGTCATATACGTTTATATCCATATTCCTGATATATACCCTAATATTAGTGGGCACATCAATTTTTTTAATTATTGGACTTAGAAAGGTCTGTAGCGAAACCAATTAATTTTAAAAATGTAAAAAAAACTAATTTTTCAGAACCGTTACGATTTTATGAAACCTTTCATCTATACCGTCTATTCGGGTATTGTATTTACATTGTCTGTGGCAATACGGGTTTTCTTTAAGGGTTTGAGGAAGAAGCAACCTGTTGGCCAACTTGCACTGGAATTGTTTATCGATATAGCTGTGTGCGGTGAGTAACAAACACCCATCATACGGTGATCTATATGATAATTTTTTTCCATTACCTCTTAGCTTTCCAAGGTCTTTTACTATATCCTGTGTACAAGTACTATAAGGATCTAAAAGCCAATCGGTTTTTGCCAGAGCAGCATACCCTGAATGGCAATCAACCGCTCAATAAGCCCAACTATCATCCAATTCAGGGTCAGGCTTAACATGAAAGATGGTTGTTGCAGCATTAATTGGATACTTCAACTCTAGATTTTAAGTCACTGATTTATGAAGATATACTAACTATTATATTAAAGCACCGCATTTTTTAATTTGAATTTAAAAAATACATTTAATCTAACAAAAAAAATTAATTGATGAATTCTTGAATCGATTTTTAATTTAACTTCATCCAATGTATATCATTACATTGACAGATTTTCACGATATAGTGGGTCTTTGGTATTTGCGCTAATTTGATTGAATGGATGGATTAGTTATCACTTCAAGTTTGGCATAGAGTTCCATTGGGAAAACAAAAAAAAAACAGTTGTACATCGTGAAGGAGGAGTTCTCTCAATCCTGTTCAGACTTCTACGAGTGAGTTTCAAACAACTTTAAATAATGGCAGCTGCATATCCCAATTACGTAGTGTATATGCCAATTTTTGTAGCTTGGACATTCACGAATCCTGGATACACAAATAAGTCAGATTATCGGATAAATGACTGATGAAGTAGCTCGAGGCCGAGTGATCCAACGATTGATGAGACTGCCAAACCATCGAAAGCTTTTATTTCAGCTGTTTCAAAAAGTATTTGGAAACCGATTGCGTCGAATATAAGGTCATCTGGCCGGTAATATCGAAAAGAAGAATAAACTCTCTTCCATCACTAAGCAGGATTGATCTGAAGAATAGCGGTAGGTCACAGCAGTATTAGATATCTGACCTCAAAATGAGATATAAGTGTTTCTGTCCATTGTACAGAAAGTAAAAATAAAGAAGTGTTAAGGCTGGGTTTTCGGAAATTCGTAAAAATCAGTACAAAAAGGACTAAATTGTACAAAAAATAAATACTTTGTATTGGACAAACGGAACGTGCTAGAATTTGGAATGAGAGTCCCTGATGAAGTGCAGGATAGGTGTACCAAGGTTTTGTTGGAAAACAGAACTTTACGGTTGCGAAAAGTTCTAAAATACTGCTTAACTTCTAAAACGGTGCCATGTGGTGCACGGATGGAGCTAAAAACTAGAAGTTTGGTATGGGAATCAAGGTTGGAAAGTAAGTTTAAGATATAAAGGTGGCTTTGGTAAAATATACTAAGTTTGCGAACTGTACTAAATGGTACCAAATTTGGAACAGTTTGAAGCTGACATTTTGCGTTGGCGTCCCTGCTACTGGTAGGATTGTGACAAAAAAGTGGTTTTGGAAATGGTATTGGTACAATTTGGTATTGGGTGAGCGGATAGTGCTGGAAATCTGAAATTTGATATTAGGGTCGCTGACACATGGGGAAGTTTCGGAAGTGTGCACTATAATTATGTATAAAAGTACTAAATGGTACTATACTTGGTATTGGGTGAAATAATAGAGCTGAAATCCTGAAGTTTGGTATAAATGTCACTGTTTGCGCCTGTGGTTCAGGTTCATTTGATATTGAGGTATGGTTTTCATATGGAGACGTTTAAATAGTATTTGGCATTGAAAAATCGGATATATTTTTCACTAATACCCTTCTCGGTACACTTTAAAATTAAATATTTTGATGACTTCTTGGTGTAAACGGTAAATATACAGGGTGAGATGGAACAACTGCAACCAATTTCAGACTGCTTTCATTTCTAAGCCACTCGTCCGATATTGTAAACAATATTTTGGCCGCAGACCTTGGACATTCCAACAGGACTCAGCACCATCGCACTCAGCACGCGTCACCCAAGGATGGTTAAAAATTAGGTTCCTTGCTTCATTTCCAGCGCACAATGACCACCAAAATATCCGTATACCAATCCGTTGGACTATTGTGTCTGGAGTATTTTGGAAAGAAAAATTTTGTCACTAAGAAATACCAAAGTATCGACGACCTCAAGCAATCGCTTCGCCGGGAATGGGCCAAAATACCGCGGAGCAACATTCGGGCAAGGCCTTAATTTGTCCCAAAGGTGACCAATTCGAACAAATCTAAACTTATTCTAAAAGTTGATGCTATTTACGAAATTTTTTTGCTTTCATTCAATAAAATTAAAAAAAAAATGTAATAATTATGGCGTTTGACTTTGTTGCAGTTTTTTTATCTCACCCTTATATGAAAATTTGAAAATTTAGTACGATGTATGAAAATTTGATTAAACAATTTTTTTCAAATTGAGAAAATTGTGCTTTTTGAGTATTTTAAAGGCCTAACACGAAATTTTGGAAGGAATCTACAATCCAAAGATGGACTTTCGTTGACCTAGTAGCAGACACTTGCTACTTGCAAGATACAAATATAACAAGTAATATCAATCTCCGTTTTGGGGGGTTGAGATAACTTTCAACCCAACTATAAATTAACCAAAATTGTTTCACAGTGTAGTTGATGAGTTAAGTTGCACACGCAATATCCATATAACAATACCCCTCTTCCAATTCATTGTTGAGGCGAACGAAACCAAAACCAAAGTGGAACACCGTGTTTGTTTGTTGTCTATTTTTGTTTAAAAGCTACCTTGGTTGTCTGTTTAGATGCCGGCTAATACTGCTGCCAATATTTTTGGCAAAACAAAAAACAGAACAACAACAAAACTCTGCCTTAGTAGAGCAAAATTGCAATTAAAACACTAAGAGAGCGAGAGAATATCAACGAATACGCAGTAGAAACCGGCAAATAAAGAATAGCGTCCGAAGAAGAAACAAAAACAAAAGATTTATGTATTTTTGAGGTTTGTTATTTTGCGATGGTGTCTATGCAACATTTTCTGCACAATGAATTTCAGTTGTTGTTTAGAGTACAGCGTCAAATGTTGTGTGATAACTATATACGGTTCTGTTTGATATTTAAAAGTAGTTTCTAACCGTAAAATGACATCTTGTTGTTCACTTCGAAAACTAAATTACACCTCGGCAATATTTTTTCTCCTTTTCGGGTTTCTTGGATTTTTATTTTGTCTCGGATTCTTCGCCGTGCCCAAAAATGAAGAGTTTTGGGAAGAACTGGGTAAATGAACGTAATATAAACCTTGAAATAATTTCAATTTGTAAAAAGAAACTCAAATAAAAGTAAAAACAAGTAAGCAAAGGCTACAGTCGAGCGGGGCCGACCGTTGAATACCCTACAACACTATAATAAACGATACAGTTTATATAGGCGAGATACTCGAAAGAATTCCACAAGATATTGTGACAAATAATAAAAGAAAGCCATCAGGTTTCGTTCTCTAATTTTCGAATAATAGCAACTTAAACTAATTTGCTCATTTCCAATTTATTGGCAAATGTTGCACTTAAATGGTCTTCCTAGATCTGGAACCAATATTTCCCAAAGACCTATAATCTCTCAGAAGTGGCAAAAGATTAACATTTATTATTGGTTTTTGACTGAAACGCATCTATATGAGATACATACATTTGACTATTTTCTGCAACGAAATCAGCGTTAACGAAATAGTCAGAAGTGCGTCTTTCCTGTATTTGTGAATTCTCCAAAAAGTCTCTGGAATATACATTTTCGTATTTTGTCTACAAAAGTTGGCAAACTATTTCCCACATTGAATATTTTTGGATGGCCATCCAAAACTGCTTGGCTTTTGCAATGTCCGGTAACCCCCATTCAAATGTGCGTGAGGATCGGTTGATTATTACAACCTGCTTACAATTTTGCAGTTTTTTGGTCCATTTCAACCCCTAAATATATGGCGATTATCTCCAAAAATAGTAGGCTTCTATTCTGACCCTCATCTTATCCCCATGCAAAATTTCGTAAGGATCGGGCCATAAATGCGATCTGTATATGATATCCTGATATCCTAACTACTTAGTTTTGTTAGCTGTAGAAATATTACCAAATGTTTAATTCAAAATGAAAATATGCCAAAAATATGACAAAATTGAAAAAATATGAGAAAATTTTAAAAAATCAATATTTTCATCTTCATAGAGATATTTTTATGCAATTTTTTAGACGTTTTTTCTTTCCTGCCAAGAGGCCATTCTGAATTAATGAGAACTGTCGAAATCAGTTCAGCCGTTCTCGACATATAAGAGATCTTTCAAGCATATCTTCTTTTATAGACATATATATCGCACATATTTCGCTATATATCCGATTTGTTGGATGTTAACATCAATGTAAAGGTCAGAAGTAACCTTGTCATGGCTTTGGGATTTCGCCGGTATTTAAAATATTCGCGGTTTCATGAAAAATTTTGAATTTTTTCAACACAAAAGATATGTTCTATTTTACCCGCTAAATATTATCCGATGACCACCCAAATTGGTAGGCTTCTTCTCCGCCCTAAACTCTAGCTACATGCGAAATTCCGCGTCGATTGGTCTATAATTGCGACCTGCATAGCTACTGCAAAATCCGACATTTTTTCAGTATTTGGTCCATTTCAACCCCTAAATATTATGCGATCATCTCCAAAAGAAATAGGGTTCTATTCTGACCTAAGCCCCACCTCCATTCTAAATTTCGTGAAGATCGGGCCATAATTGCGACCTGTAGAGTGATTACAAATTAACATGGACAGACGGACAGACGGACAGACGGACAGACGGACGGACGGACATACATAGCTAGATCGACTCAGCTCGGCGAGCTAGGAAGATCCATATATACTTTCCTATATGGGAAACCAATATTTCGAGGTGTTACATAAATTCTGGCCCAATCAAACTTATAATACCCCCAACACATAGTGTTGTAGGGTATAATTAAAAAAAAAAAAACTGAGGGTGATTAAAAATATATTTTATATTGCAATAAAAGAAAGAAAATAAATTAAAAAATATATTCCAACTGGAATAAAAATATTATGTATAGCAGCTAGCTGAATACAATTTAATTTTCGTATATTGGATTTTATGACGCCACATACATACAGATATGCAAACATGTATATAAAATTTCTATTAAAAATGAGAATGTGTCACATATGCCCCATTATGTCAAATTGACTGCCCAATAAAACAATAAGATGACAAGCTCCGATACATTAGTTGAGTTAAGTGTAAACGCAATTGAAAAGCTGACATATAATGAAACAATAAAAAAGTGATCATAGTTTATAGATCTCTCAAGTGAAAATGAATTCTATAGTTATTACCAACCTCCATTATATTCAAGTTTGCAACTCGATCACAAATGTCGACCCAGTAGTTAAAATTGGCAGATGGCCTCTAAAATGAACACGGAAAATTTCAACATTTTGGTTTTAGATAGATTGGACTGGAGATTGGGCGCCACACAGTGTCGAATTATGTCCTTCAAACGGCCAATGAAACCGTCACACGCTGCCCGAATGTTACTATGCGGTATTTTGGCCCATTATCGGCGAAGCGCTTGCTTGGTGATCGACACTTTGGTATTTTTTACTACCAACATTGCTTTCTAAAATACTCAAGATACAATAACTCAACGGATTGGTATCCGGATATTTTAGTGGCCATTGTGCGCTGGAAAGGAAGCGAGGAACCTCATTTTGTAACAATTCTTGGGCTGGAATGTCAAAGGTCTGCGACCAAAATGATGACCTGCCCACGGCTTTAATACACCCTTCAAAACATTTCCGCGATAATATTCAGCATTTATTCTGATGCCACGGTCGATTAATACGAGCGGAGAGCAACCATCGGCTGTTATGGCAGCCCACACCATCACCATGGCCGGCGCTTGAGTTCTGGTGGCCAACAGAAGGTGCACATTTTCAGCTGACCTCTTTGGCAAGTAAACACGATAATTCTGATTGTTTACAAACTGCTGGACAACGAATGTTTTCTCATTGGAGAAAACCAAATTCGGCAGTTCACCACTTTCAGCCAAGCGAATCGCCTCTTTAGCTCTTTTGAGTCCATTTTCTTTCTGTTGCCGTGTAAGTTCTTGCACTTATTGAAATTTCAATGGCTTACCCCGAGCTCATTTTTCAATATTTGGCGAATGGAATATTGCGATATGTTCAGTTCACGAGCCATTTTTCGGCCACTGCGACGCGGGTTTCGATAAAATCGCTTCTTTACTTTTCGAACTATTTCTGCTGATGTTGCTGTTTTCTTCCGTCCACTTCCTTGACGATAGCCACATGTAGTTTTCCAGTCAAATATAAAGAAATCACACTATCACGCTTGAATTCCATCACGAATAGCTTTTTTCTGGAAAATTCTTACCAAAATGCTTTTGTACGCTTGTAAACAATATAATAAGCTGTCACTGGAATAATTTTAACAGATGGCGGACGAGTGGCTTAGAAATGACAGCAGTCTGAAGTTGGTTGCAGTTTTTTTCATCTCACCCTGTGTTTGCTTTTTCTCACTCGAGGGTTAAACATGTGGGAGGGGGAGTGCGAGTTTTGTGTTCTGTTCTTTTATGTATCACTCTTATTTGGAAAATTAGAGAGGAAGATGAATCGCTCGAAAAAGAGTAGGAGTTTGCTTTAAGAGTGGAACCGTGTGAAAAGAATTAGTTTGTCCGCATAAGTATTACAACGTTCCAGATTAGGACGATATACGATTTTATATATGAGATATGTGATAATTTTTAGAAAATGTTGAAAGTTACCAGATGTAAGGGACTGGGTTTTCCACTTCATCTAATACTTATAATATTGGGTAAAGCAAGTGCTAACAAATAAGAACGTGGGGCCGAACATTTAACACCATTTTCTCGAAATTTTTCAGAAAATCCATCAAAAATACCACTTAAATGAAAATCCTTATATGGGGGCTATACGAAGACGTTGACCTCTAAAATAATTTTTTGTCATAGGCTGAAGTACCGATTTTGAACATCAAATAAGAAATTTGAAACAATTCCGTTGAATAATATCACTAATATCATCACATTTGAAAAAATTCTATTGAAAAATGTGGCTAAGATCATGAAAATATCGAATAACTAGGGTTACCGTTGCATGGGGGATAAACGATATCGTGGACCTATATAGACGATTCTCTTTCAGCGGGTGAAGTACTCAGAAGTTACTGCTTATGCGGATTTTCATACAATTCTATGGAAGAATATGGCCAAAATCATCAAAATATCGAATATCGGGAGGTATCGTTATATTGCGTATATACCCCATATAACGATACCTCCCGATATTATATCGTGGATATATATAGACAATTCTTTTACAGGGAGTAAAATACTCAGACCCCTTGTGTGGAGTTTGAGACGATTCCATTGAAAAATGTTGCTAAAATCATCAAAATACCGAAGATCGGGAGGTCGAGTGATATACGATATCGTGGATATATGTAGACAATTCTCTTCCAGGTGGTAAAATCATCATAATCATAAAAATGTCAAATATCAGGTCACTATTGCCTGGACATATGTGTACAGAAATGTGAACTATAATTGTACGAAAAGTACTCAGTGATACTATATTTGATATTAAATGATAATAAATGCAAAAAATATAAAATAAAAATAAAAATACAAAAATACAAAATTTGGCAGTAGGTGAAGAGATTTGATATAGATAATATGAATATGATAATACTGATATGAAGATGGTTTTGATGTAGTATAGTTGCTAGTTGGATATAAAATGTCTCATTTTTATTCAAAACTACTTTAATATATGCTTCATAGTACGTAGCAAAATAATATGACCATCTACAGAGAATGCTCGCTGTGATACCCGTTAATATCTTTAATTACTATTTAGTCACGAATTCTTAACATTTCTTATATTTAATTTCAGGCGAAACCAAGGCATGGTCTTATGCCTGTGTCTCACTTTTCACCATCTACACCTTTGCAGTGTTTATCTCATCGATTCTGTTGATTGTGGGACTTAAGAAGGTATATCTCCAAGTATATAAATGTGTAAGAATTATTACTATCCATACACATATTTCTTAACTCATTTCCCACTCAGAATCGTCGCAAATACATGACACCATTCATTTATGTTATCTACACGGGCATTGCCTTCACCTTGGCCGTTTCGGTGCGTCTCTTCTTCAGAGGCCTGAAGAAAAAGCAACCCGTTGGTGAGCTTGTTGTCGAATTGTTTATCGATGTGGCTGTCTGCGGTAAGCTGAGCAAAACACTTTATGATTTTATAATAATGATGTTCACGTTTTTTCCATCTTCCTGTTTTAGGTTTTCAAGGATTATTACTCTACCCTGTCTATAGATATTACAAGGATATCAAGTCTCGACCATATTTGCCAGAGCAGCATACTTTGAATGGCAACGAACCGGTCAATAAACCGAACTATCCGTTGCAGGGACAAGCATGAAAAAATAAATACTTTGTATAGATTTAAGAAAAATTTAATTTACATATAAGTTATATAATATATATACCATAACATGTCCCGGTCACAAAGTCTAACTCGACCTCGAAATTTACAAAACTACCTCAATAATGATAAAATAGTTATTATATTATACAATTATATTTATATAAAACATATAAATATATGCAATAATTTTTATACATATATGTGCTACTATAGGATTTGCGATACATAAAAAAGAAGGTATATAGTATTTTAGTGTTCCTCTTATAGGTTTCCTCTTAATGAATCTCAGAAGTTTTTATTCATAAAATCGGCAAGAAAAGATCAAAAGGCGGGCTGGGCTGACCATATGGTAGAGCTCCCGTAACAAAAAAAGTTTACATTGGGAATTTATGGGAAGTAGATCATACCAACCATGAACCTTATTTGAATCATGTCATTAGAGTAGTCACAATTTGGGAACTACATCCAACTCTGGATATTTTTTCAACAAATTTGACACCAAATAACATTGTTGTATAGTGCATGATATGACTTTGATAACAATTATATTAAAAAAAAGTAAAGAAAGTCCTAAAGTCGGGCGGGGCCGATTTTATGATACCCTACACCACTTTGCTAATTTAGTTGAGCTCCACTTAATAATTAAAAGTTTTTATGGGAGAATTTAATCATACACGCTATGATTATAATTATAATTTAAAATTTAAAGGACTAAATATGCCGAAGCATTTGTGTCTTGTATTGCCCATTTGGTGCGAAATTAATTTGAAATCGGATAAAAATATATATGGGAACTATATCCAAATCTGAACCGATCTCGATAAAATTTGGCAAAGATATTTCTGAGCTGTATTTGATATATTTCCCTGAATATCGTTGTTACGGAGTGCATATTACGGCTGTGGGTAACAAATATAATAAATCGGATGAACAATATATATGGGAGCTATAACTATATTTGAACCGATCTTCACCAAATTTGGCATACTACCTTCTAGACTAAATTCGGTCGTATGTTCCAAATTCCATCCCATTTGGACAAATATTAGACGTTTGGTGCACAATAAATGGTAAATCGGACGAAGTTATATATGGGAGCTATATCCAAATCTGAACCGATCTCGATAAAATTTAGCAAAGGTATTTCTGAGCTGCATTTGATATATTTCCCCAAATATTGTTGTTACAGAGTGCATATTACGGCTGCGGAGGACAAAAATAACAAATCGGATCAACAACAATATATATGGGAGCTATAGCTATGTCTGAACCGATTTCGATAAAATTTGGCGTACTTATTTTCAGGCCTAATTTGGTTGTATGTGCAAAATTCCATACTATTCGGGCTGATATTACACACAATAAAAGGGAAATCGGACGAAGATATATATGGGAGCTATATCTAAATTTTTACCGATTATCTCCAATTTCAATAGGGTTCATCCTTGGGCCAAACAAATGTTGTTTGCAAAATTTCATCTCAATCGGATAATAAATGCGACCTGCATTCTGTTCACAAGAATACATGGACAGACGGACGGACGGACGGCAGACGGACGGACAAACGGACTGACATGCATAAATCAACTCAGAAAGTGATTCTATGCAGAGCATCAAAAGGAACTATGGGTCTCTCTCGCTTACTTCTTCATGTTACAAACAAATGCACAAAGACATAATACCTTTACAACTATGTGGTGTAGGGTATAAAATAAAGGTATATAGCACAGGGAACACTAACCCTTATAGTTTTCCTCTTTATGAATCTCAGAAGTTTTTGTTCATAAAATCGGTAAGAAAAGATCAAAAGGCGGGCTGGGCTGACAATATGGTACAGCTCCCGTAACAAAAAAGTTTATATTGGGAATATATGGGAATCATACCAACCATGAACCTTATTTGAATGTGTATCAAGTCATTAGACTAGCCACAATTTGGGAACTACATCCAACTCTGAATGGTACATCTAGTATCAAATAGTTGTTGTATAGGGGAACTTCGATAATCATTATATTAAAAAAAAGGTAAATAAAAATATCAACCGATCTCGATAAAATTTGGCAGAGGTATTTTCGAGCTGTACCAAGTATCATTATTGTGGAGTTCATATTACGCATGTGGGGGATTTAACACCAAATTGTATGAAGTATATATATGGGAGGTATAGGTATATCTGAACCGATTTTAACCACATTTGTTTCTAGGATGAATTAAGTCGGAATTGCCAAGATTCAGTCCAGTTGGACTGATATTAGCCATTTGGTGTACAATAAAGCTGAAATCGCTTGAAGATATATTGGAGCTATATCTAAATCTGAACCTATTTTGACAAAATTTTAGGAACTTATTTCTGAGCTATATCTGATGTCTGGTACCAAAGATCATTGTTGTGGAGTGCATATTTCGCATGTGAGTTACTTAAAACCCCAAATCGGATGAAAAATATATATGGGAGTTTTAGCAATATATGAATCATTTCTCATCAAATTTGAAGTACTTATTTCTACGATGTATTCAGTCGGAATTACCAAGATTCAATTCATATAAGCTTAAAAATATATATGGGAGATATATCCAAATCTGCATCGGTCTTAATAAAATGATGCCATTGTTGTAGAATGCATATTGCGAATATGAGGGACTTAAAACGCAAATCGGATGAAACCTATATATGGGAGCTATAGTTATATCTGAATCGAATTTGATTTATATGCTTCTAGACTGAATTCGGTGGGATGTACCGAAATACTATACCTAAATTTGAACCGATTCTCACCAATATCAATCCTTGGGCCAAACAAATATTGTTTGGGAAATTTCATCTCAAGCGGATAATAAATGCGACCCGTATATTGTTCACAAAAATACATGGACACACAGACAGGCAGACGGACTGACATGCAAAAATAGACTCAGAAAGTGATTCTATGAAGATCATCAAAGTATATATATGGGTCAATATCGTTTCCTTCCCCATATTACAAACAAATGCAAAAAGACTAATACACCTTCCACTATGTGGTGTAGGTTCTGAGGTCTCCTACATAAAATTGGTCTAGGGAACTATCTTAACTCCTGTTGTCTGTTACAAAAAAAAAAAAAAAATAAATAAATAATAATAATAATAATAATAATAATAATAATAATAATAATAAATAAATACAAAAAACCTAATACCCTGTACAACAGTCTGGTATAGGGTATAAAAACAATCGCCTAATTAAATACCCGCTAGGTATGACTCTCTCCAGCCAAAGTTATCAATGTTTATTCTCAAAATTCATGAATTTTGATAAGACTTAGGCTCAACATGAACTTGAAATTTTGAAGATTGTGTACAAAAAAATATGTATATATATATATAAATGTTGAAGATTAGTTTGAATTTGGGGTGAATATTAAGTTTGTCGTTCGAAAATTATTTCCTCAGTAGACATTGGTTATTCAAATTAAAAACATTACTGAACATATCATCGAATTACAAATTCAACTTTATTATCAAACATTAAAAACAAAAAAATAAAATTAATTTTTAAAAATGGGATTACGCACATCTTTTGGAAATTGTATTGGCTGGATCAACATATATTGGTGGGGATTTATTGCCATTAACATTAGTTTCTTTTTGCTTATAATTGCCATGAAACAAATGTTTATAACGAAGGAGAGTTTTGAGGAAGAAGATGCAAGTGAGTGAATAAATTTTGAATGATCCTGCAAAGTAGAATTTTAATCCAGAGAATAATTTTAACGATCGAGCATGATCACGATCTGAATACATGCTCTCTTTAATCTTTCTACCTGTTAATTATGGAGTTTCAAATACATTACCGTGGTTTCAGAGGTGTTCTCAAACATGTTTGCTGAGACTAGCCTTTAACGCGACATTAAATTATTCTATTCTTTTATACTCCAGTTGCCTTCACCTGGTTTTGCAGTGTTGCATTTGCGGTTTGTGTTTTGATTATCACAGTATCGGCACTTCTTGTCAGGGGCATTAAAGAGGTGAGTCATATTCTATTCAGTCGAATTTAAGTCACACATTTAATTGTTTTCAACCCTTTCAGAAGCGTCCAAAAGCAATGATTCCTTTCCTTCTGTTTACATTCACTCAAATAATTGCCTACCTATGTGGTGCCATTGTTATATCATTGAGCTATGCTGATAATACAGTTCTTTTTGTTCTTGTGGTCAATATGGGTAAGCGCAAAAATCAAAAAATAGAACTGTTCCACGGAAATGAATAAAATTGAAGAAGCAAAAAAGCAAATGAGTTCGACCGGACTGAACAAAACTAATTAAATCAATTTGATATCGAATATAGAGGGGTACTATTATATGGGGGATATATGACAACACACATCTATGTCAATTTAACAATACCCGCCAGTTTGCCTATCTAACCGTCTGTCGAAATCACTTTAGCTTCCGAACAAAAAACAAAAAAGTTGGTTGAAACCAATTTTCTCACACATGTATTAGCTCTGCAGGAATGAGCTATATGGGTCCTCGTTATGGTATTGCCCCATATAACTTTACCAACGGATTTAAGTTTTTTTTGTGTTTTGCTAAAATTGGCGTTGTACGAAACATCCTTGCATAGAACTGTTGTGCGCTGGAAATGAAGCGAGGAACCTCATCATTCTTAAGTGGCGCGTGCTGAGTGCGATGGTCCTGAGAACTTTTGGAATGTTCAATGTCTGCGGCCAAAATGTTTGCGTGCCCAAAGCTTTAATACACCCTCCGGTGGCATTTATTTTGATGCCATGGCCGATTAATACGAGCTGAGAGCGACCATCGAAAGTTATGGCTGCCCACACCATAACCATGGCCGGCGAGTTCTGGTGGCCAACCGAAGGGGCACATTTTCAGCTGACCTCTTTGGCAAGTAAACATGATCATTTTGTTTGTTTACAAACTGCTGGAGAGCGAATGTTTTCTCATCGAAAAAAAAACAAATTCGGCAGTTTACCACTTTCGGCCAAGTCAAGCAACTCTTTAGCTCTTTTGAGTATATTTTCTTTCTGTTGCGGTGTAAGTTTTTGCACTTTTTGGAATGTCAATGGCTTTACCTCGAAACGGTATGAGACACAAAAGATTTATTCACATTTAAATGCTGGAGTGCTCTAGCGATAGCCAATTATGGTTTTCCAGCCAAATATAAAGAAATCACACACTCACGCTTGAATTTCATCACGAATCAATTTTTTTCTGGGAAATTCTCACCAAAATGTTTTTCTATGCTTGTAAACATTATAATGAGCTGTCACTGGAATAATCTTGACAGTGGCTTAGAGAAAGAAATGACAGCAGTCTTAAGTTGGTTGCAGTTGTTTCATCTCACCCTGTATAACCGGACCTCCCTATATTCAGTAGTGTGAATTATTTCACCAGAATTATTTCAAATTTCGTGTTGTGAGTTCGTAATGAGTACTACAGCCTGTAACCAAAAATTATCTATGAAGGTCCACGTCTTCGTATAGCCGTTTATGGTACCTCCCTACACTCGGTCAAACTTACCTTTTTTCGCTCGTTCTATGTTGAGTTTGGTCATATATGTAAAAATCTATTTGGTTTTATTTACAATTGAAATCTAACACAATGAATATATCTGTACAAGGGTATTTTAACGAGAGGCCCAAATGCCAAATTAGAGCCAATTCCGTTGAAGTTTTGGCTGAACTTTCGAAATAAATAAAAATGTTTATGTATCTTAAAAAGAACGAAGCGGTATATGTTGTCTATAGTTGATCTACATGAACATATCTTGTCAAGAGAAACCACTGAAAACCACTAAAATAATATTACACCATCATGTACCTGCCCTACAACAGGTCAAAACATTGAATAACAAGTAAATTAGTATCAGTCAGCTTTGCCGACAGAGTTATTCAATATTGACTATTTCGAGATATGTGTAATTATTTGGAAATAGCGGACCGAAGTATTCCATTTTCATACTTCATATAACACAAACACAAAGATATCAAGTAAAAAAGCAGTAAGTTCGGCCGGGCCGAACTTTGAATACCCTCCACCATTTGGAACGAATTAGAAAATGCTCAAAAAAATAAAATCCAATAAAATTTCTTTTTAAATCTTTAAAATATCTAATATAGGAAGGTGCCGATATATGGGGGGGATATACGATATTGTGGACCTATAAAGACAAATCTATGTCTGCGTGTAAAGTACTCACAAGGAACTCCTTGTGTGGATTTTCAGACAATTCCATTGAAAAATGTGGGTAAAATCATAAAAATACCGAATATCGGAGGGTACCGTTATATGGGGGATATACGATATCGTGGACCTGTATAGACAATTCTTTCTCAGGGGGTAAAGTACTCACAAGGAACTATTTGTGTGGATTTTAAGACAATTCCATTGAAAAGTGTGGCTAACATCATCAAAATACCCAATATCGGTGGGTACAGTTATATGGGGGCTATACGATATCGTGGTCCGATATAGCCCATCTTCGAACTTGACCTGCCTGCAGACAAAAGAGAGATCTGTGCAAAATTTTAGCTTCCTATCTTAATTCGTTTAGACTGTAGCGTGATTCCAACAGACGGACAGACGGACGGACAGGGCTAAATCGTCTTAGAATTTTACGCTGATCAAGAATATATATATTTTGTTGGGTCTATTTCGATGAGTTACAAACGGAATGACGAACTTAATATACCCTCCATACTATTTTTGGTGGAGGGTATAAAAATATTGGAATCTGCAAAATTTGAAGGAAATCGAACATTTATATGCAATTTTATGCAAAATCATAAATTCCGAGAAATTAGATATTCATATCAGATTTCTAGATAAGAGAAGAAGGGATTAAACAGATATATCCTCTTCACAACAGATCTTTCGTTAGCAAATATATTCAAATGTGTAAAATTTGAAGAGAACCGGATGCTTATTTCGCTTACTTTGAACATTTTGTTTTTCAAAAATTTGAATATGTGGGGCTGGTGCCAGAAGAAATGGTCCGATATCTACCATATTTTTACCAGATCTTGTGTAGATGGAAATATTAAGATGTACCTAGTTGAGTGAAATCGGATATTAATTTCGCGTTTTATGAGCTTCATGAATATTCAAAATGTTGACCCTTTTGGGTGGGAGGTACCAGAAGGAGTGCGCCGATATATTCCGTCTTCACACCAGACCTTGGGTTAATAAAAATATTGTGATGTGTGCAATTTGAAGACAATCGGATTATTGCATCACATATTATGAGAAATACAATTATTGAAAATTGTGTCCCTTTGAGGGGGAGGTAATTGATGGAGTGTACCGATATTGTCGATTTTACCAGAGCTAGCACTGATGCAAATAATAGGATTTGCAAAGTTGGAGCAAAATTGGATCATCCTTTCCCTTCCTGTGCAGTAAATTGTCAAATTTTACACATACAGACAATTTTGCTAACATAAGACCTGTTGTGATGATCATATATATCTGCCTTCTTCCCTTATGTTATCTCACCCATAAAGTTTCACAATTTTAAATACGTTTATCTGTAATATTTTGTAAAACAAGTCAGCGATTCTTTACAACTAAATATTTCTCTCAAACAGAAACCTGGGATGAATAAGAAATTTATGATTTCGCATTGTATATAAATGTTTGATTTTCATGTTATTTTGCCCATACCAATATTTTTATCTATATTAGATAAGGTCGATTATATCCTGCACCTCACGCACATTTCAACATTTTCTAAAATTTATCACATTTTTCATATAAAGTGAAGGAAGAAATCAATATAGTCCAAACATAGTACGTTATTGAGAACCGATACAAAATGGACAATATTGACCCAATTCTTCGGAACCTACTCCATAGAGGGTCAACAATTTGAATAATCATAACAAATATAATCATAAATAATCGAACATTGGCCGGGGGTATATATCTGTCTACTAAACCGCCTAAAATATTTAAACTTGTTTTTCAAAAATTTTAGCATTTTCTCATCAAATTGCCAACTTTTTCTGTTCTTTGGTATGCAGTTTTTAATGGGTATAGAATCACTTAAGACATAATCATCAACATGGGTGTAGCCTAGTACAATTTCTATACTTTCACAAATACAAGTAAAATTATAATAGAAATGAGATGAAAGAGGACGCTTATTAGAAAATTTAGGTTCTAGAAATTGATTTATTTCTACAGCCGAATCCCATAATATTTGTACTATCGAGTCCCATATAAAGAAAGCGTGGTTTTGGTATTTAAAATTGTATTCTAAATCAGATGGTCGTAGACATTTGTTTCAAAATAGTCAGATTTAACCCCATTGTTATCATTATTATTTTTAAACATCGTTTCTTTTATACTAGGGAAAAATGAAAAGTTGTACAGAAAGGCAGGCCAGATTATGGTTTTGGAAAGAGCCAATAATTCACATAAACGATTTTAACAGAATAATATAAAACATCAAATTCAATTGGGAATGTACAATAATGACGTTAATATATATTAGGGATTTAATAATTTAATCCATTGCATGTCACATATACCGGGTGAGATGAAACAAGTTCGGCCGGGCCGAACTTTGAATATCCTCCACCATTTGGAATGAAGTTGGAAATTTTCAATATTCTATACGACGTGGACCTACATATACATTGTTTGCCCTAAGCCATTGCCATATTCAAATTCGAAACTTGAAATAAACGGTGTAGAATATAGCTAAAATCATTAAAATATCGTATATAGGGCGGTAGCGTTATATCGGAGGTGTGCGAAAACCTGGACCTGCATAGACAATTTTCTGTCACAGGCTGTAGCATCAATTACGAACTTCAAATACAACATCTCAAACAATTTCGGTGGGTATTGTACCTAAACTCGAAAAATAGCGGATATAGGGAGGTACTTATATATGGGACCTATACGAAGACCTACCTGCATAGAAAATTTTCTGACTTTAGTTCCTATCACGAACTCTAAATACGTAATTTGAAACAATTTCGGTAAATAATGACGCTAAAATCATAAAAATACCGAATATTGGGAGGTACCGTTATATGGGAGCTATACGAAGACGTGGCCCTGAACAGACAATTTTCTGTCTTAGGCGGTAGTATCCATTTCAAACTTCAAATACCAAATTTGAAACAATTCCGGTGAATAATGTCGCTAAAATCATCAAAATACCGAATATGGGGAGGTACCGTTATATGGGGGCTATATGTAAACGTGGACCTACATATCCCATTTACGAACTTAACTTGCCTACTGGCAAAATAAACATGTGTGCAAAATTTTAGCCTTCTATCTCATTTCGTTCGAAAGATAGCGTGATTACAACAGACAGACAGACGGACATGGCTAAATCGTCTTAGAATTTTACGCTGATCAAGAATATATATATACTTTGTTGGGTCTAAGATCATTATTTCGATGAGTTACAAACGGAATGACAAAATGAATATATATATAGTATGGTGGAAAACCACAAGTGACTATCATTAGAGCACTCCAGCATTTAAATGTATATAAATCTTTTGTGTCTCGTACTATCGCTTGTTACCGTGATTCTGGTAGCGTAGCCCGACGTCAAGGAAGTGGACGGAAAAAAACAACAACATCAGCAGAAATAGTTCGAAAAGTAAAGAAATGACTTGATCGAAACCTGCGTCGCAGTGGTCGAAAAATGGCTCGTGAGCTGAACATATCGCAATATTCCATTCGGAATATATTGAAAAATGAGCTTGGGGTAAAGCCATTGAAATTCCAAAAAGTGCAAGAACTTGTACCGTAACAGAAAAAAATAGACTCAAAAGAGCTAAAGATTTGCTTCGCTTGGCCGAATTTGGGTTTCTCTGATGACATTCGTTGTCCAGCAGTTTTTAAACAAACAAAATGATCGTGTTCACTTGCCAAAGAGGTCAGCTGAAAATGTGAACTTTGGGTTGGCCCCCCCAACTGAAGCGCCGGCCATGTTGATGGTGTGGACCGCCATAACAGCCGATGGTCGCTCTCCGCTCGTATTAATCGACCGTGGCATCAGAATAAATGCCGAATATAATCGTCTGAAGGATCTATTAAAGCACGCAAACATTTTGGCTGCAGACCTTGGGCATTCCAATGGGACTCAGCACCATCACACTCAGCACGCGCCACACAATAATGGTTATAAAATGAGGTTCCTCCCATCATTTCCAGCACATCACCAAAATCCCCGGATAACAATCCGTTGGACTATTGTGTCTGGAGTATTTTGGAAAGCGAGGTTGGCACTAAAAAATACCGAAGTGTCGATCAACCCAAGCAAGCGCTTCGCCGGGAATGGGGTAAAATACCGTAGAGCAATATTCGGGCAGTTTGTGACTGTTTAATCGGCCTTTTGAAGGCCATAATTCGTGTCAAAGGTAACCAATTCGAACAAATCTCAGCTTATTCTAAAATTTGATGCTATTTACAACATTTTTTGCTTTCATTCAATAAAATTAAAAAAAAATGTAAAAATTATGTCTTTTGACTTTGTTGCATTTTTTTATCTCACCCTGTATGCATATTGTATGAAACATTTCGCCTTTCACTCAAATAAAAATTCTTTTTGTTTTCTTTTTCAGTTATACAAAGTGCAATATTCATACCCATATTCAGTCTTTATCGAACAATGCAAAAGAAGCGATTTCATAATCCTGCAGATAATACAAAAAATGCTAATTCAATCTGAAAACATTTGATGGATATGGAGAATAAATTTTCCTAAGATGATATACACATGTGGTATTTATAGATGTACATAAACTTTTTTTAAGGTTCTCTGAAATATATATAATTATAACTTACATTTCAATACAAAATAATTCTATTTTTTGGGAATCCGCGGAAATATGATTACAATGATTTTCGATTTCGAAAATTAAAACCATTACAGAAAGGTCAAAAGTCGGGTGACGACTTTGTGATACCTCGTACCACTATGCATATTGAGAAGAGCTACCCATAACAAATAAACGTTTATATTAGGAATTAATGTAAAGTATTGGTTATTTATGTAAATACGATCTATGAAACTTTTTTTAAGTGCGTATTATGGTATTACATCGGTTATAATTTTTGATCAAGGGAAATAATATATGAAATGTACATCCAAATCAGTACGATTTCCACCAAATTTGACGAAGGCATTTTCACCTCTCGTAGCAAATAACATTGCTATAGAGTGCATGATATGACTTCGAGAAGAATTATATTAAACAAGTAAAAAGGCAGTAAGTTTGGCCAGCCCGGACTTTGAATACCCTCCACCATTTGACACAATCTGTTAGAATTTCTATTAAAATTTTAAAAATACCGAATAAAGCCGTTATATTGGGGTCAATATATGTGGTATCCATCAGGAACCTCAAGTACGAAATTCAAAACAATTTCAGTGAATATTGAACCTAAAATCGTCAAAATACAGAATATACGGAGGTTCCATAGACTGTAGTACCCATTAGGAACTTCAAATACAAAACGATTCCGGTGAATAATTTCGCTAAAATCATAGAGAATTTTATGTCACATGCTCTTAGGAACTTCAAATACGAAATTTCAAACGATTTCGGTAAATGTTTTACATAAAATCGTCCACATACCGAATATAGGGAGGTACCGATATATGGCGCGTATACGAAGACCTGGACCTGCATAGATAAGTTTCTGTCAAAGACTGTAGTTCCCATTACTAACTTTAAATACGAAATTTGAAACAACTCCGGTGAATAATGTCGTTAAAATCATCAAAATACCGAATATCGGAGGTACAGTTGTATGGGGCTATACGAAATCGTGGACCTATATAGACAATTCCCTTCCAAGGGGTAAAGTGCTTAGAAAGAACTTAGAATTTTACGCTGATCAAGAATATATATACTTTGTTAGGTATAACATTATTATTTCGATGAGTTATAAACGGAATGACGAACTTATTATAGCCTCCAAACTATGTATGGTGGAGGTTATAAAAATATATCTGAGCTCTTGACTGATTGATATATGTGAACCGCATTTCACGAAAAATTAGGTTGACTGTGCAAAAATGCATCCAATATGGGTTGACATTACATGTTTAGTGCACAATAACCGTGAAATCGTATTAAGATATCGGATGAAAGCAATATCCAAATCTGAACCGATTTGGCAGAAGTATTTCTGAATTTTATCTGATATCTGGTAGCAAATATAATTGTTTAGGAGTGCATGTTGCGAATGTGAGAGACTTAAACACCAAATCGGATGAAACATACATATATATGGGAGATATAGCTATATCTGAAACGATTTTCACCAAATTTGAAGTACTTGCTTCTGAATTCGGTTGTTTATGCCAAAATCTACTTAGTTAGGGCTGATATAAACCATTCGGTGCACAATAAACCTGAAATCTAACAATTAAAAAAGCAGTAAGTTCGGCCGGGCCGAACTTTGAATACCCTCCACCATATGAAACGAATCAGAAAATTTTCAAAAAAATAAAATCCATTAAAAAATTCTTTTAAAATCTTTAAAATATCTAATATAAGAAGGTGCCGATATGTGGGGATATACGATATTGTGGACCTATAAAGACAAATCTATGTCTGCGAGTAAAGTACTCACAAGGAACTCCTTGTGTGGATTTTAAGATAATTCCATTGAAAAGTGTGGCTAAAATTATCAAAATACCGAATATCGGGGGTACAGTTATATGGGGGATATACGATATCGTGGACCTATATAGACAATTCTTTTTGAGGGGGTAAAATATCCACAAGGGACTCCTTTTGTGGAATTTGAGACAATTCCATTGAAAAATGTGGGTAAAATCATCAAAACACCGAATACCGTGGGGGTACCGTTATATGGGGGCTATACGATATCGTGGACCTATATAGCCCATCTTCGAACTTGACCTGCCTGCAGACAAAAGAGAGATCTGTGCAAAATTTTGGCTTCCTATCTTAATTCGTTTAGACTGTGGCGTGATTACAACAGACGGAAGGACATGGCTAAATCGTCTTAGAATTTTACGCTGATCAAGAATATATATACTTTGTTGGGTCTAAAATGATTATTTCGATGAGTTACAAACGGAATGACGAACTTAATATACCCTCCATACCTTTTTTGGTGGAGGGTATAAAAATATGTGTGGAAGCTGTACTCAAATGTGAACCGGCTTGATGAAATTTGGCGGAGTTAGTGTAGTGTATCTTATATCTGGTACGAATATCATTGGAGTGCATATTGCGAATGTGTGGGACATAAGCTATAGAAAAATCCGAACCGATCTTCACTAAATTTGAAGTACTTGCTTCTGTGTTGAATTCGCATTGATGTGCCGAAGTCCATTCCATTTGGGCTAATATTAATCATATGGCATACAATAAAGTTTAAATCTGACGAAAATATATATGGAAGCTATATCTACATTTGAATAGATATTCACCAAAATTGTCGGGCATACTTCTGACGTTAATTTGGAGTTTATCGGTCGATTCCTTCCGGTATCTCCCCCAGATGAGGTAAACATATTATAGTATGCGAAAAAAAAACTACGAACAATTTTACGATTCATACTTCGTAAATCTAAGCATTTCTATCAGCAACAGATTTAATGTAAATATGGAATGTGTTAGTCAAATCCATCTGGTACCGTCACAACAAAAAATTTGATTAACAACAGTTTGCATAAAAGTGGATATAATTATAATTTTGCAGAATACATGAATATGGGACATGGGTTCACTATTACTGGTTGATCCAGCACGAAGTTTCTTTCCTATTTTACCCTCCACCATAGTATGGAGCGTATACAGGGTTGCCCATATTCGACGGACCCATCTGACAACGCCATAACTTTTGACAGAGATGTCACATCGCTTAATGACATACCGCGTTTGAAGCGTCAGTCCAAGCAGATTTTTACCATGAACCAATACTCGCCACGCGAGAGCTGTGAAATAGTTGAAATTTACATTCAACAGAAGAAGTCAATTGTGAAAACTCAACGTGCTTTTAAAACATTAAAAAATGTGAGAAGTGCGCCTTCTAAGAACACCATTAAGCGTTTATACGAAAAATTTTCGACTGGTAGGGCTCTTTCTAATCCGAAGAGGCCATATAAAAGTCGACCAAGGCGATCGGCCGAGAATATCGCTGCCGTACGAGCCAGTGTTGAGAGGTCCCCAAGAACATCCCAATAACGCCGTTCTGAGCAGTTGGGCATGGCTCGGTCCACTTTACAACGGATTATTCGCATTGATTTGCATTTGTTCCCGTACAAAATTCAATATGGGCAACCCTGTATTAAGTTTGTCATACCGTTTGTAACACCTCGAAATATACATTTTAGACCTCACAAAGTATATATATTCATGATCAGCATAAAATTCTATGCGATGTCCGTCCGTCTATACGTCTGCGGTCTGCCTGTCGGTGGAAATCACTCTAGCTTCCGAACGAAATGAAGTAGGTTGATACAGTTTTACTTAAATGTGTATTATGTCTGCAAGACTTTTGGTATTGGAAATGGATCATGTAGGTCCACGTTTTGGTCTAGCCATATATGGTACCTGCCGATATTCGGTATTTTGGTGATTGGAGCGACATTATTCACCGGAAATCTGGTAGATGAAGATCGAAATGGATATTACAGCCTATGACAGAAAGTTGTCTGTGCAGGTCCACGACTTCGTATAGCCCCCTTATAACGGTACCCCGCGAAATTCGGTATTTTGATGATTTTAGCTATATTTTCACCGATTTTTTTCAAGTTTTGCATTTGAATATGGTAATGGCTTACGACATAAGTTGCCTATGCAGGTCCACCTCATCATATAGACCCTAATAAACGGGCTACATTCGGTATTTTTAAGAAAATTGCCAAATTCTTTCCAAATGGCAGAGTGTATTCAAAGATCGGCCCCGCCGGATTTACAGTTTTTTTACTTGTTTCGTATATAATTAGAGTTATGGTTATTCCAAATTTAAGCTTGTGTATGGGAAAGATACAGAAAATGTGGGCAGATAATCGAAATATTCAAAATTTTAATAAGTAGAGTTAAAAAACCAACGCCTGCTATATGAACCTTCAATAACTGAAGTCTTACAATCAAGTTTTTAATATTTCCCCTTTTGTTTGTTGGCACAAATGCGTTTCACTTTTGCCGACAATATGGGCAAGGCATCAAGAAAAGTATACGTATGCCCGTATTTTTTATTCGTATATGCATATGCATATATTCTCTCCTGGCGTTTTTTGTCCAAAATAAAGAGAATAAAAATAAGCTGAATGAAAATAATAAAATACCCATTAATTTTGTCCGCCACTTGAGTTTGCCAAAACACACATCGTCTTTGTGCGTTAAATGTCTCAGTTCAGAAACACTTTCCATCTCGTCTGACAGTGACAAAAGGCTACGCAACTCAGCGAAATAACACCACCAAAAACACAGATATATAAGAAATATACTAGATTTGTGTTCATTCCAAAAAATAAAAAACATGTCCAGTGGTCGCTTAAAATGTTTGTCCAGATTCTCAGCCTATTTACATTTAGTTCTGAGCTTTATTGGAATCGCTGTTGTCATTGCTACAATAGTTGTGGTTGCAAAAAATAATTTCGATGCGGTGGAAGATTATGGTAAAGCAGTAGTTATTAGTCAAGTTCAATACTTTTTCTTCACTGACAGATTTAATTAATAAAATAATTTTTAGAAGTTACCAAATATTTGATGTTGGGCTATTTGAGCTGCGTTCTAGTATATATATTGTTGCTGTTTAGTTTCTCCATTACTTTGATAGTGGGCATTGAAAAGGTAAGTGAAATTTCGAAAGCCGTTGCTATGAATCCAAAAAATAAAATGACAAAGACGACACTTTTCGGACTTGTATTGCCCATTTGATATATGTGGGAGCTATATCCAAATCTGAACCGATCTTGATAAAATTTGGAAAAGATATTTCTGAGCTGTATTTCATATATTTCCCTGAATATCGTTGTTACGGAGTGCATATTACGGCTGTGGGTAACAAATAAAACAAATCGGATGAACAATATATGTGGTTATGGCTATATCTGAACGGATCTACACCAAATTTGACATACTAGCTTCTAGACTCAAATTTCATCCCATTTGGGCAAATATTAGACGTTTGGTGCACAATAAAAAGAAAATCGGACGAAGTTATATATGGGAGATATATCCAAATCCGGACCGATCTCGATAAAATTTAGCAAAGGTATTTCTGAGCTGTATTTGATATATTTCCCCAAATATTGTTGTTACAGAGTGTATATTACGGCTGCGAAGGGAATAAAATAACAAATCGGGTGAACAATATATATATATATTATATATATATTGGAGCTATAGCTACATCTGAACCGATTTCGATCAAATTTGGCACACTTACTTTCAAGCCTAATTTGATTGTATGTACAAAATTTCATCCCAGCCGGGCTGATATTTGATGCACAATAAAAGGCAAATCGGACGAAGAAATATATGGGAGCTATATCTAAATTTTTAATTTTTTTATCTCCAACTTCAATAGGGTTCGTAGGGTGAATTGTGCAAAATTTCATCTGGATCGGGTAATAAATGCGAACAGTACTTTGCTCACAAAAATAAATGGACAGACGGACGGACTTGCATAAATCGACTCAGCATGTGATTCTATGCAGATCATTAAAAGGAACTATGGGTCTATCTCGTTTCCTTTTGCCTGTTACAAACAAATGCACAAAGACATAATATCCTGACCACCTTGTGGTGTAGGGTATACAAATAATACATAATTAGAAAGAAATTTGGAAATTAGAAAAAAAAGAGATAGGAAGATCCATATACACTTTGCTATGTGCGAAACTAATATTTCGAGGTCTTACTTGGCTTATTTGGCCCAATCAAACTTAAAATGCGCCCAACACATAGTGCTGTAGGGTATAAAAATGTAAAAATTATGGCGTTTGACTTTGTTGCAGTTTTTTATCTCACAATGTGGACAGTTCTTTTTCAAGGGGTAAAGCACCTACAAAGAAGTCCTTGCGTAGAATTTCAGACATTGAAAAATGTTGCTTACATCATCAAATTCCGAATATCGGAGGGTACCGTAATATGGGGGCTATATGATATCGTAGACCGATATAGCCCATTTTCGATCTTGAACCGGCCTTCCCATCTTAATTCGTTTTGTCTCTACATTACAGACGGACTGACAGACATGTCTTAGAATATTACGCTGATCAACAATATACATACAGGGTTGCCCATATTCGACGGACCTTGGGCCCTTTGTGCCCATTCCAATCGACGAGGCTTGTCCGCAGGCAACATTCTTTGCGTCAATTGAATTTTGTACGGGAACAAATGCAAATCAATGCGAAAAATCCGTTGTACAGTGGACCGAGCCATGCCCAACTGCTGAGAACGGCGTTTTTGGGATGTTCTTGGGGACCTGTCAACACTGGCTTGTACGGCAGCGATATTCTCGGCCGATCGCCTTGGCCGACTTTTATATGGCCTCTTCGGATTAGAAAGAGCCTTATCAGTCGAAAATTTTTCGTATAAATGTTTAATGGTGTTCTTAGAAGGCGCACTTCTAACATTTTTTAATGTTTTAAAACCACGTTGAGTTTTCACAATTGACTTCTTCTGTTCAATGTAAATTTCAGAGCCCTCGCATGGCGTGTATAGGTTCATGGTAAAACTCTGCTTGGACGGACGCTTCAAACGCGGTATGTCATTAAGCGATGTGACATCTCTGTCAAAAGTTATGGCGTTGCCTGGTGGGTCCGTCGAATATGGGCAGCCCTGTATATACTTTCTAAGGTCCAAAATTATTATTTCGATGTGTTACAAACTGATAACGAACTTAAAATACCCTCCATACTATGCATGGTAGAGCCTATAAAAACGTTGAAAACCCTGTTCAAGTCATAAAAATACCGAATATAGGAAGTTACCGTTATATTGGGGTCTATACGAAGACGTTAACCTGCATACAATTTTTGTTATAAACCATTTGTAATGGTTTAATAAATACCAAATTTGAAATAATTCCGATGAATAATGTTATAAAAATCATCAATACCGAATGTAGGGAGGTACTGTTATATGGGGGACGTAGAACCCATTGCAAACTTACAAATTTGTACCATACATATATATGCACACCTCAGTAAAATTTTATCAAGCTACTACAATTCGTTCGGAAGGTAGAGTGAATTACACAAACGGACAGAGAGACAGGCCGGCGGGCATCGTTAAATCGCTGTAGAATTTTATGATGATCAAGAATATATATACTTTGTGGGGTCAAAAATGCACATTTAGAGGTATTACGAACGAAATGAAACTCCATAATATGGAGGAGGGTATAAAAATACGTTTTTGTATATAACTTATATTACTAACTTAGCTCTAATTTTTTTTTTTTTTGGTCCTCCTCTTTAAAATATTAATTTATGGTTTTTTTTTTTCTTTTCTTCCAGAATAAACTTAAATTATTGAGCCCCTTTGTCTATTTGACATACATTGGCTGTTGGCTGTATGGCCTCGTAGCACTTCGACATTTCATCTCGGGCTTATTTAACCGCGGACCATTTTTACCTCTTTTTCTTCATCTCTTGATACATTTGACAATTATTGGTAATTTATCTTTGATACTTGTTCGTAATTCGTGCAAATATAAAATCAAATCCGTTTCAGGTATTCTAGTTGCAATGTTATGGCCAGTATTAAAGTTGCACAAGAGATGGCGCAAGGAACGCAAAATATCAATGTCTACTGTCTGCAATAATAGTACAACTAATTTTTAATTAGTTTAAGAATGCTTTTTACGATGTATTTGAAATAAACCAAACAAAATGTTATGGGTTCCAGAATTAAGGTGCAAGACACTTATTAAAACTAAATTAATTTTTTGCTTCTGGTAGGTGACTAGAAAACACTGTTCCTTTCCAGCAAATATATGACTGAAACGTAATATATTCTTTAACCTGTAAGGAAAGTCTTAAAGTCGGACGGGGCCGACTTTATGATACCCTACACCACTTTGCTAATTTAGTAGAGCTCCACATAACAATTAAAAGTTTTTATGGGAGAATTCAATCATACGCGCTATGATTATAATTATAATTTAAAGTTATGCCGAAGTATTTGTATGTTTTAAATTCGGACTTGTGTTGCCCATTTGGTGACAAATAATTTAAAATCGGATAAAAATATATATGGGAGCTATATCCAAATCTGAACCGATCTCGATAAAATTTGGCAAAGATATTTCTGAACTGTATTTTATATATTTCACTGAATATCGTTGTTACGGAGTGCATATTACGGTTGTGGGTAACAAATACAACAAATCGGATGAACAATATATATGGAAGCTATAGCTATATCTGAACCGATCTTCACCAAATTTGACATACTAGCTTCTAGACTCAATTCGTAAATCGGACGAAGTTATATATGGGAGCTATATCCAAATCTGAACCGATATCGATAAAATTTGGCAAATGTATTTATGAGCTGTATTTGATACATTTCCCCAAATATTGTTGTTACAGAGTGCATATTACGGCTGCGGAGGACAAAAATAACAAATCGGATGAACAATATATATGGGAGCTATAGCTATATCTGAACCGATTTCGATTAAATTTGGCATACTTATTTTCAGGCCTAATTTGTGTGTATATCCAAAATTCCATACAATTCGGGCTGATATTACACGTTTTGTGCACAATAAAAGGTAAATCTGATGAAGATATATATGGGAGCTATATCCAAATTTTGACAGATTATCTCCAATTTCAATAGGGTCCGTCCTTGGGCCAAACAAATGATCTGTGCAAAATTTCATCTGGATCGGATAATAAATGCGACCTGTACTTTGTTTACAAAAATACATGGACAGACAGACAGACAGACAGACATGCATAAATCGACTCAGAATGTGATTCTATGCAGATCATCAAAAGGAACTATGAGTCTATCTCGTTTCCTTTTGCCTGTTACAAACAAATGCACAAAGACATAATACCCTGACCACCTTGTGGTGTAGGGTATAAAAATCGTGGGCCGACATGACCCATTTTTTTATCCAATGATTTTTAAAGTAATCCAAAGTTCTCTATAAAATTTCAAAGCTCCATATTCATTGTTGGGAAATATAGCCCAAATATTGGGGACCTTTTGTATATACCAAATACCAATTCTAGACCATATGTGTTTTGGAATTAATCCGTTTCACGATATTTGGAGTCGTTCTAACGGTGGCCGCCATTCTGTCTGTCTAGCTGACTGGTGTGCACGATTACTTTCGAAGGGAGTATCCGATTTCATCCGAACTTGGTACATCATAACGTTATTATTAAACTTAGATCGAGTTCGGCGATGGAAAATATAGGTCCTCTCGTTCTAGTACATCCCCCACAAAAAGTAAACTTTTTAAATGAAAATAATTTACGGCACAGAAATAGAAAGGAAATTTAAAGTTTTAAACTACATCCGTTCACTTAAAACCAAATGGTTCCTTTTTAGAAGTTTAGCATCACTCTAGAACTTTTCGTGGCCTTAAAGTTCCAATTTTCAAAAAACACTTTCGTGTGTCCTTTCTGCTCAATCTGAAGAATCCCATTCGGATGAAACAAATATAGCTCCCATATATCTGAACCGATTTTCACCAAATTTTATATACCTACTTCTAGACCGAATTCCATCGGAGGTGCCAAAATTCACTCCGTTTGGGATGATTTTAGCGATTTGGTACACAATAAGCCGGAAATCGGATGAAGCTAAATATGGGAGCTATATCCAAATCTTAACCAATCTTTTCAAAATTTTAGGCACTAATTTCTATTCTGTATCTGATATCTTGTACCAAAGATTATTGTTGTGGAGTGCATATTACGCATGTGAGGGACCTAAAAATTCCAAATCGGATGAAACATATATATGTGTGTTATAGCTTTATCCGAACCGATTTTTATCAAATTACCTTACCACTATGTGGTGTATAAAAAGGACCAAAAGAACCCTTTTGGAGACTCGCATGAGGCTTAACATTCTCCACTAAAATAATCGTCGTATTGTTATCAGTAATTTTGAAGCATGTACTATATACATAGAATGCACGAATATCAAGGAATCGTAATCCTAAAATTTATAAAATGCGTGGAAGAGGGGGGAATTGCCTTCTTTATTTGGGTTACATAACGAATTTGTTCTATGTTGTAATTGTTGGGAAATGCAAAAGAAATTGAAAGGCGGTATATCTAGACCTAAGTTGAATCATATTATATATATATTATGTTATTAAGCTATAACTACATAATGAAGTAATTCGAAACCACAGAAGTTTTTTCCCCACAAGGTTTTTAATAAATAAAATTTGATAAATATACATATGCACATTAGGAATTTTCTCCTAGGTTTGATCTAGTACGTATTGACGGAATTTAATACAAGGAAATATATTTTGTATAGGTATGTTGCTTTAACTCCCATATCGGAGAATGTAAATTAATTTGTTTAAAAATATAAATAAATCAGAGGTACAATAAATATGCCAATGCATGTTATTATTAAATGTTGCTCATGGGTATCCATTTGTGTACACTTTTTGCTAAGCATTTTCGGAATTTTTATTTCAATCAATTAATTGAGACTGTGGGTTCTCTTTAATGACTCTGCCACTGCTAAGTTATTGCCATATCGAAATTGGGTATATTCATTACTTTGTACTTATTAATTAAATTTTTTGGTAGTTATCTGCAAAAGTTTAAAATTGAGAATACTTTTTTGGGATTTGTTCTACTCTGTGCTTTTTCAAACGTCTTGAATTCGGAAACTCTATGAAGGGTGAGTAAAAGAATTAAAATATTTAATATTAATTATAATATATATAACAATAAAGTATAAACAATAGAAAAGGTAAAGGTCTTTATCGGACTATAGAAATTCAAAAAATAGTTAGGTTCTATTGCCTATAAAATATTATGGTGTTTTGAGTATTTTTCAGAGCCAATAATCATGCGATTGATTTAAATTTTTGAAGATGTTATAATTTCTAGAAGTGTTCAGTTGAAAGGATCCTCATTTCCAATATATTGTTGCGGCTTTCACTTTTCAGACTCAGTCCAAACTTTTCAAACCCTTTGTCTTCTCCACCATGTCTATATATTTTGTTCATGGCGTTTTGATAATTGTCAATTTTATCTCTGGCTTAAATCTTCCAACGTTTGTTTCGTCATATCTCAGCTTGTTATTGTTTTTGTCAATAGTTGGTTAGTTTTACGGGTGCTACTAACAATTAATTCTAGAATTTTCTTATTACAGTTATCCAGGTTCAAATCATGCGGCCAATATGGAGACTATATAGAGATCGTCATACCGAAAGAGAAATACCAAACTTTGGTACTAGAAACCTATAGTAAGAATAAATACCGAGTACGAGGTGTGTTTACACACTTGCGTTTGTGTGTTCTCTGTCGTGATTGAAACATCAATAAAAAGGCATGTACAGATAATTTTCAACAATTATTTTTGAGCTAATTTTTTGTATATTTTTTGTTTGATAAATATTAAATAAAAAATAAGATAATTATTAAATTAAACATTACCTTTTTAGCACTATCCAAAAAAAAATATAAGGCGAATGCGTCAGATAACGATTTGGCTAGGTACTTCAAACACACATGGGTTACATACCAGACCTGGACTTATATGGCGCATTTTTTATCAGAAGGTGTAATAATTGAAAATATCGAATTACAGATACTTTCGGAGGCCGGACCCGCTATATGGAGGAAAATGTCGAAAATTGGAGTAATCCACTACAGGAACCTACATCAAATAGTAGATCGGAATAAAAAAGTTTCTAAAGGAAAAGTCACAGTTTGGTGCGGTTTATGGGCTGGTGGCAACATTGAATTGTACTTTTTTAAAGATGCTGCGAATCGTAACGTAACGTAACCGTGAGATGATCCAACTTTTTATACCCTACATCACAAGGTGGTCAGGGTATTATGACTTTGTGTTTCTTTTTTGTAACAGGCAAAAGGAAACGAGATAGACCCATAGTTCCTTTTGATGCATAGATGCATAGAATCACATTCTGAGTCTAATTATGCATGTCCATCCGTCCGTCTGTCAATGTATTTTTGTAAACAAAGTACAGATGAAATTTTGCACAAATCATGGCCCAAGGACGAACCCTATCGAAATTGGAGATAATCGGTCAAAATTTAGATATAGCTCCCATATATATCTTCGTATGATTTGCCTTTTATTGTGCACCAAACGTGTAATACAGTCCGAATAGTATGGAATTTTGCACGTACGATCAGATTAGATCTGAAAATAAGTGTGCCAAATTTGATCGAAATCGGTTCAGATATAGCTATAGCTCCCATATATATTGTTCATCCGATTTGTTATTTTTGTCCTCCGTAGCCGTAATATGCACTCTGTAACAACAATATTTGGGAAATATATCAAATACATCCCAGAAATACATTTGCTAAATTTTATAGAGATCGGTTCAGATTTGGATATAGCTCCCATATATAACTTCGTCCGATTTACCTTTTATTGTACACCAAACTTCTAATATTTGCTCAAATTGGATAAAATTTGGCACTTACGGATTACCGAATTGAGTCTAGAAGCTAGTATGTCAAATTTGGTGAAGATTGGTTCAGATATAGCCATAGCTCCCATATATACTGTTCATCCGATTTGTCATATTTGTTACCCACAGCCGTAATATGCACTCCGTAACAACGATATTCAAGGAAATATATCAAATACAGCTCAGAAATATCTTTGCCAAAT